AGTACAGTATATTCAGCATTCATCATTACAGAAAAAGTTGTATAGTTCTATTAAGAACAGTCAATTTTGACTTTAAAATTGTAAAGATTGAGTAAATTGTAATTGTAAAACCATAGAGTATGGTGAAAAAAATAATGCTTTAACTCAGGTTTTTTTTTTCTCTTAATACAGGAGCCCATCCTGAAAGAGAAAAGCCTGAGAGCAGAAAAAATTCCAAGGTCACATTCAAAAATAAAGGGTGACTCTCAGAGGAAGATATGTAACACGGACAGAAATAATGTTTGGCTACTGCTTAAATATTATACTCATACGAATTGAGTCATATCAAAGACACAGTAAAAGACAAGGTTATAACCCAATTTATATTAATAGGCAGGCAACTCTGAAGAAGGTACTTCAAATTCCTTGTAGTATAATGCAGGTTTAAAATGAACAAATATTATGTAATGCTTTAACAATAACTTTTGTGGTGAATTTGTGCACTAAGCCCATGGTAGGTGTTTAACGTATTTCATGTCTTTTCATTTACTATCATTTTAGGTCTCAAATACGAGAGCAAGATAAAATATTTTTTAAAAGATGTTTGAATCCATTTGGAACTGACCAGTGGCTTTATATAGAAAGACAGAACTTTTGTTTAGCGACAGTGTTCTTATGCATTTGAATCTAATTTTATTTAGGTCCAACTTTTAAGGGGAAACCAATCCTATTTAACAGACTGGATGGCAGCAAAATATTTCATAATAATCTGTAATCACATTTTGTATTGTTTTAACCTAAATATGAATGTTATTCTATTATTTTTAAACAGTATATCTAAATCAAGGCACATTTGAAACTTTTTTTTTATTTTGGTTTACAGATGATATTGAATTTACACTTCTAAATTAAATGTCATACAAGTAGCAGATTCATTTATAATGCTTTGTTTCTCAAAAACAATTCAAAGTCCTAAGGAAATTTACCACTTTAGGGGAAATGGGCATTCATGTGATGTGAAGTTTTACTTTACTCCTCACAATTTTAAAAATTCTGCAACAAATTTAGAACAAAAAATTAGGATACACAAATTAAGAGTTGTCTTTTTCTTTCTTAAATTCTTAATACATATATATCTGATGTTTGGCTGTGAAACTCAACATCATTTTTTTAAGCAAAGAAACTGTGGAGATTGGCAGCTATAATGAGCATGTCACAGGAGAGCAGAAACATTCAACACAGAACTTAGAAAGGGCAGAAGAAGAAAGCTGATTTCTGATGTACTCTGGGGCAGCAGTCACAGGAATGCTACTTACAAGAGGGTTTTATTTTTTGGTGAGCAATGCAGGAATGGTAAAATGAGGTCGGAAGGCAGTCAAACTAACGAGTTTTGAAGCATACCTGTTGATTTATTTTTCATTGCATATATTTGAAAAGATAAAAATTATTTTGCATCAGCTTACATGTACAGTACATGTACTTTAAAATAAATGGGAAGTTTTGCCACACTATAGGTGGTCATTGAGTAGCCAGATGTATTAAAAATTGCATTTGTATGTACAGTATTTAAACAAGACAGCTTCCTTCAATTTTTTTGAATGGGAGGAAATATAAATCATAGTGCTTAAAAAAGGTTCCATTTTCACAAGGTACTGGAAAGAGAAATATACACTGACAATTCTATATTCTCTTAGTTTTAAGGTCAGATTTTGAAGTGATGATCTAAAACCTTTCTAGCTTCATTTATTGCTTGTGCATGGCAGCGGTTTCCTCATCTTTCCTTATGGATGTGTTGTTGTTCTCTACAGCCAGGAAAGTGATGTCAATAAAACTCACCAACTGAAATTTCGCTTCTTCCTTTCATCGTACCAGCTAAACCCCATGTTTCCGTCAGAGACAAGACATTTTAAGTAGCAGCTTGGGAGGTACAGTACAAGCAAAAATGCCAGCAAAAATTGCATCGCATCTGAGTTACATGTATAGAGATTTAATTTAATTAATTAATTTTTAACCTACTTGGCTTGCAGGAGGACAGTCTGGCCAAACAGAAGCCCCCATAAAATGATCCAATGAATGATTGAAGTATCAAGTTGTTCTTGGTGGAAGTGGGGCTGGTGGAGAATCAATCAGAAATAAACACTGAAAGGGTCATAAATTATCCTCAGTATCCACAAGCCTTTTATTATTCACATGTACAGTAAGAGCAAAATTGAAAGCTTTGTCTATAGAAACTAAACTAAAAGGCTTCTAGCAGGCCACTCTGTCGAACATTCACAAACTTTGCAATTGCTTGATACTTCAAACATGGCATTAGACTTTAGAATTAGAATTAAGGGAAAAGAAACTCATTTTAACCATTTAAACCTTTTGTGTGCTTCACAAAATCATATAATGTGTTTACAGTACTGTATATATATAATTAGAGCACTAGAGGGCAGCAACACATAGTAGATCAAACAGAGCTGCAAATGTATTTTCGGTGTCATGTATTCCATCAGTGCATCCACAGTCATTTTCCAGACACTTTATCCAATACAGGGTTATTAGGGAGCCACAGTCTATCCTGGCAAGTAACAGGCATAAGGCAAAATATCCTGGATAGGATGCCAATCCATCACAGGACATAAATGGACAAAAACACGCAAACACTCACACCAAGGCCAATTTTCCCAGGAATCCATTAACTTTCCAGTTAATCTTTTGACTAACTGAGGAAGAAACTGGAACACCGAGAGGAAACTCACATAAACATGGGGAGACAGACAAATTTCACGCAGGTAGCACCCCAGGAAATTGCTGCCTGGCAGCACTGCATGGCACACAGACACCACTTAACCTAGACACCATGTCATTCGACTGTGCAAGGACACTTTCTATGGGAGAACCCAGAGAAAACACAGGCAATCATGTGAAGTCCACCCAGAAAGATCCCCAGCCTGAATCTAACTCCTTGCTGCGTGAAACAGCAATGCTAGCCGTCACACCATCATGACAATCCTGACATGTATCTCCTAACATGGATGAACCTTTTCTCACAGTCACAAAATGAGAATTATGTTATCTAGTAGAAAATCTATACACTTTCCAAAAAACTAAATTTGAATTAATTTGTATATATAGTATGAATTTATTAAACGTGTAAATTACCCGCTCCATACAGTAGCTTAGATATAACCCCAAGGGTTTGAAATCTCCATTGTTCATGTGCTATTTCAAGACAATATTTGTTTGATGTGTGGATAAAGGATCAATTAAAAGAGTGTTATGTTTTTATGGATTTACAGTGTGAAGGTCAAATGAATGTTATGTTGTTTCAATTGAAGCTGCAAGACTTTATGAGCACTACTTGTACTTTCAAAAACCTTTTAAAGTGTATGTGTTAGTATGCATAAAATAAGCAACTTTACAAGATCAGTTATGCTGAGTAAGTTCATAAGTGAATTCATATTGTAGCATGGTAGCTACCAGGTTTTTTATTGTCTACAATTTATCTGTATCAGTAAAATTCCTTTATGAGATGTTATATGCAGATGCAGGATCCTGTTCGGTACACACTTAAAAATGTAAAGTTAATTTAAACTGAAATTTATTTTTTTTTAGATTAAATGTTGTTAATTAAATTTGAGCACAACATTATATTTACTGATTGTACTGCCTGTATTACAGTATATGTATTAACTGTACCGTCGTGCTCTCCACTAAATTCTCTGAAACCCACATACAGTAGAATTCCCAAATCTAAAGTGATTTCAGAATTATAATGTACAGTATTTTGTACATGTTTCAAAGCTCAGGTACTTTACAAATAATCAGAAAGGAATTTGATGTACATTTCACTTACATTATAAAGCATAATTTAAATTTTATATACAGCATAAAATATTTCTCCTGGAGAGAATTATTATTGCTTGAAAAACATGAAATACTCAAAAAAGGCTAAAATACAAATCACTTTAAATTTAACAATTAAAAGGATTACATATTTAGTCAAAACTGGTCCTACTATTTAGAAAACAATCTTTGGGAAAGGCAGCCTCAAATTATTGTGAATTATTCACATTGGCAGTTGTACTACTTAAAAATTACTGAACACATAATAATAATAATAATAATTGCTTACACTTATATATAGTGCTTTTCTGGACACTCCACTCAAAGCGCTTTACAGGTAATGGGGTCTCCCCTCCACCACCACCAGTGTGCAGCATACACCTGGGTGAGGCAAGGGCAGCCATAGTGCACCTCAACACTCACCATACATCAGCTATCTGTGGGGAGGAGAGCAGAGTAATGAAGCCAATTCATTGATGGGGATTATTAGGAGGCCATGATTGGTAACGGTCAATGGCAAATTTGGCCAGGACGCTGGGGTTACACCCCTACTCTTTTCGAGAA